AATCAAAATTAACACTTTCATTCCTCCTTTCTTACTTTTTTTTTGGAAAAACATTTGTTGGTATTAATTGCATGGTGATTAAAGATCGTTCTAATACACGAAATCTGGTATCTTGCATGCTCACGTTCCTAGTTTAGTTTTGTTTTCGAAAGATGCATCAGGTTTAGTTGGGCGGATGCGCTAATTACAATTACCACAAATCAGATGCGACGACTATCTTAGAAAACACACGTTGGATGGTGGAGCTTGTTTGAATTGCGCGTCACCATCAAAAGGCCTAACTTAGCTACTAGGGCAGGTGGCTGAGGCTCCCATAGGTGCGGTTCGTAGAATGCTTTCTTTTGTTATCGCAAGTTCCGATATGAACGCGCGAACGAACTCTTGAGCGAACACTTCTCCGAGCTTCCTTGATGTTCGTTGAAGTCTTCATACGCTATATAGTACCCCCGGGGTAGCCGGAGTCAACACTGCTTCATGAACCATATGTATGTATGAACCGTACGAATCAAGTAAGATAAGTGGATGAATCCGGCTGAGCCCTTTGGATCAGGCGGTAGCTTATGCCACCTAGCCATTTTGTTTTACTATTGAAGCTTAGAATATTTAAATATGAAAACTATATTCACTCCGCACTGAAAAGAAAGTGAGGCTATATCCTCAAATTCTATCTTGCTCACCGCTTCCCTGCTCTCAAATGACGCCCATCCCATGTCTCCTTGTACTCCCTAGTTTGGCGTTTTGCAATGTGCCCCCAAAGCCAGCCTACCTACTCCGCGCTGTTTTATTTCTGGTCTTGCATGCACTTCGGATTTCATGCATAGCACTGCTTTTCCAAAAGTCAAGCCCAGGCACCATGACCCCCTTTCCAAATCTCTCTCACCACCTCATACCTGTTGTAATTCCAAAGTGCTCTATTTTTCATTACAGCTGCATTTCTGTTGCCCTTACCTATTATATACTTTTCATGCTCACTGAGATATTCTGCACCATCACATGTACATACTCCTAGATACTTGTATTTACTAGCTCTCTCAACTGTAATATTCTGTATCTTCAGCCTCTCAACGTCATCATCGTTAAAAATCATGACTGCTGATTTTTCACTACTGAATTCTAAACCTAATTCCTCTCCTTCCTTACCACAGATGCTCATTAATTCCTGCAACTCTGTCCTGTTGTTAGCCATTAGTACGATATCATCCGCATACATCAATCCCGGTAAGGATTGCTGAATTTTTTGGCCTAACTTACTGTACGAAAGGTCGAATCCAAGCCCACTCTTCTTTAGTATATCCTCCAATCCTCTCAGATACAACATAAACAGCAAAGGTGATAACGGGCACCCCTGCCTAAGGCCTCGTCTTATCTCTATTTTCCCCGTCGCCTTTCCTTCCCATGTTATAATCACCTTAATATCTTTGTAAATGTTCCTTAATAGGGCTGTTAGTCCTTCATCTAGGTTTAAGCTCTCCACTATGTCCCACAGGTTCCTTTGGTTCACATTGTCATAGGCACCCTTGATATCCAGAAATGCCAGCCAGAGCTGTCTGTTTTTTTTGTTTTTTTTTGTGCTATTTCTATGCACTGTGTTAGAGAAAATATATTGTCCTCCAACCTTCTTTGTTTCCGAATCCCGTTCTATAACTCGCCCAGTATGCCCTCGCAATCTACCCATTCCTCCAGCCTGTTCTTACTAGTCTGCATTACCAACCTGTAAATAACTGGTGTCACGGTTATGGGACGATAATTCCTAATATCCGACTTATCTCCCTTTCCCTTATATATCATACTCATCCTACTAAGCCTCCATTCATCTGAAATATTTCCTTTTTTTATCATAGTGCTTACTACCTCCCTTAGTTTTGCCTTAGATTTAGGACCCAAATTCTTCACCAGCTTGATTGGGATCCCATCTGTGCCTGTCGACGTGCCAATAGGGACTCTTCGTTCCGCCTTTTCCCATTCTCTTTGTCCAAATTCCACGATGTCACAAACTGGACTGCTACTTCCTTCGGTTCTCCTATCTTCCACATGTTCCCGCTCCCGAAATTTCTCCTCCATCACTGCGCATCAACTCCCTCTAATTGATCTCCCTGATGCGAGAGTATGAACCTCTGTCTAGCTTGCGTCGTTTCAGTTCAAGTGCTCCCAAAACTTCTTGGCTGCGTTTTTTGCTTACATTACTCATCCATTTTTCACCATTTCTTTGAATTTTCGCATTGATCAAACTGGATGCCTCTCGGCGACATGTTATAAAAGTGTCCCGTTTCCTTTTTACTTCCGTTTCTGAATCCCCACTGCGCTTGGAATACCTGTGTTCTCGAGAGGCTTCTTGACGTTTTTGTATCGCTTGCTTCACTTCTTTGTCCCACCAGCTTTTTTGTCTATGTCCTTGCTTCCCCTTTCGCTTACTCTGAACTTTGTCTAGTTCCAGAGCAAAAAGCCTGGTTAGGCTCTCATAGGTCCAATCTGTATACCCTTGCCCTGAAACTGCTTCCTCTATTCTTTCAGCAACTATTTCCAACTCTCTGTCGCTGCAGAAAGTTTGCTTTGAATTATGTTGTCTAGTTTCAGCATTTACTTCTCTGGCAAAATTCAGCTGAATACGTTTGTAATCACTACCAAGACTTTTGAAACCTTCTTCATCTATTTTCATTACTTGTAACTTACCATATATTTTGTGGGACATGAGTACGTAATCTATAGTTGAATGTAGATTGCCAGTTTCCCACGTAACGTGCCGTCACACCTCTGACTGGTATTACATAAAACTAAGTCATGTTTTTCCACCAGTTCTAGTAATATGCTTCCAGTTGAGTCCGTATACCCATCCACCTCAATATGGGCATTCATGTCTCCCATAATAATTATTTCGGAGCCTTCCCCTAGTTCACTAATGTCTCTTGATATGCAATCAATCATTTTTCTGTTTTCCTCTGTTTTCCTTTTCCACCTGTCCCTGTCCATAAGTAAAGAACTCCAGGACTGTTGATTCCCCAGCGACTTTTCCTTTCAGCCACAAATGTTCAGCGCACTTCTTTCTGATCCTTTGAAAGTTCATATGGCAGTTTCCCGGTTCCGCTATGGGTAGTTTTGGTTTCGAATTCAGCGGTTTTGCTCACGGGTATGCAAACGTAGCTTCTTGATATTTTAGTCGCGATTTTGGCTGGAATATTTACTCTATTTACATGCATTTACTACCTATAAGTGCAGTTCTAAACTTAGGAATTGCATACTAAGCAAAAATTAGCCGACATCACACGACAAAAAGTATATTTTGCTGCGGTAAAATATTTGTTAAAATTGGCCACGAAGAATCTTGGCTTACGAAACATTATAAGTAAAACAAGTGATTCAAACGCAATTTATTTTTAGCTCAATTATGTACAGATGAATCAGTTGTGGCGTAACATGTTTCCTAAGACAGCGATTAATATTTACAAAAGCAACTTATTATTAACATAATGAATCATTAACAACATATTGAATGAGACAAATATATCCGGGAAAACATGCGTCATGATTATTTGCCAAAGAACATGTGGAATAATAATTTACAAAGCTCAAACAATACACATCTTGATCAAAAAGTGTCACAAAGTTACAGGTCACAGGTTAAAAAAATCTTCCCTCTCAACCTTCCAAAAGCCACCAGCTAGCGAGGTGCACCATAGCGCCATAAGGCAGTTTTCACATCAGTTTGATACATGAATTTGGCATACTTTAACATTTTGTTTTTGATTAAAACAGAAAACACCAAACCATACATTAGAGATTAAACCAGGTACAGGCAAATTTGTAGAGACCAAACCTGCACTGTTAAATAAAAACATTTTCTGACACCCCTCGAAACAGAGACGGAAAGAACCGACACCCGACAGTGTTGCAAACAAAGAAGCACAGACGTTAGGAAAATGTGCTACACCCTCTACAATGGCAAGAAAGTGAGATTCTAGCTGCTTGATGAAATCAGAAGCAGCCTCTGAGGGTACAACTAGATTCCCAAACAATTTACCGGGCACATGATACACTTTTAACATCATGAAATTCTGGTGAGGTGCTCAGTTCTGAGTCATTTTCTCGAGAAAAAGCTTGATAAGAAATCCTCCGACATATAATGTGCAGGAGTCGTCAATTACGCTTGATTTTCTGTTCGACCTGAAAGCCATATTGATTTTTTTATTATTTGTGGAGATTGCCTGGTACGGTACCGCTTAACGTAGTGTTAGTGATTAGTAGATCCCACAAAATTTCAGTGTGTGAAGTCAGTCAGCCAATTAAATGAGGCGACCGGTCTCTTGGTTGTAAATGAGCAATTTAGTTAGCGCTGCACGGCTGCTAGCCTTGGTCCTTTAATGAACGTAACGCAGAGATGATTACACAAACCCGTGTCGATAATACACTCATAGGCCTGTATACTATTGAAGCTTTGAGTTATACCCATAGGAAATAAAATCAAATGCTTTTAGGTTGCGGTCTGGTTTCTGAAGGAAAACAAGAACAAAAAGATGAATGGCAAGTATCTTTAGCTTTCGGACAGACTGCTAAAGGCGCGATTTGCAGTTTTTCTTTGTTAATTTCATGTCTTTCTTTAGTTCGTTTAAACATTTGGGAAGCGCGCAGGGACAGACGCTTCTGAAGGACACTTCCTCCGGCATGATGAAACACTACGTTTTTTTTTTTTTTTTTTTCACCCACGCCTTACATGGTCGCGTGTCGCGGACACTGTAGCTGCACTTTATTCTAGCATCCTTGCAAACGCGCTCTAACTGCCCTCGTCTCCCGCCCCCAGACAGAAACACATAGCAAAAGGCCTATCCAAATCGAAACAGGCAGCGGCAGCGATTGAACTCTGGATCTCATTTGGCGTTCGGCGTGGAACATCGCCAGATTTCGCTCCGCGTGCACCCTGCGACGCGTAGCGCGTTTTTCTCCTTGCTCCTCTGAGAGGTGCAACCCTGCCAAACGAACAAAGACAGTTTCGACAGCTAGGCAGTTACCTTGAATAACGTGGAATCCATTGAAGCTTCCCGTAGACCGCAGACCAACCTGTCTCGGAGCACATCGTCCAGCGTCAACCCGAAGTCGCAGTGCTCCGACAGTCGACGAAGCTCGGCGATGTAGTCGGCGATGCTCCCACCCGGCCGCTGGTCGTGTTTGCCGAACTGAGCCCGCTGCACGATAACGGACGGCCTAGGGTGGAAGTGAGCCGTCAGCTTCGAGACGATATCCTTGTAACTTGTAAGGTACGTTGTTGGGCTAGTTGGTTCATCTTAGTAAAACATATAAAATAGCGCCTGTCCTGTTTACTTCTTGTCCTTGTTTCTGTTGCGCTATTTTATGTTTTACTTGTAACTTGTCTCGGACGGAAGAGCCGCCCTGCTGGAAATGGGCGATGTGAAATGATGCCAAAATTCACATTGAACCAATGTGCAACTGTAGGTCCAGACACATTGAGCAATATGCATTTATGAAACAAAAACCTATGTGCACCAATTGGTAATCCTTTAGGGAATTCACATTGGGCTGAATTGGTAATCCTTTAGGGAATTCACATTGGGCTGATTGCATTTATGAAACAAAAACCAATGAGCAGCAATTGGCAACAGGTACCCCAGTGCACATTGCATTGAGGGTATTTATGGGGCAAAAACCAATGAGCAGCAGTTGGCAACAGGTGCTCCTGTGCACATTGGGTTGATGGTATTTATGGGGCAAAAGCTAATGAGCGGCTATTGGCAACAGGCCCCCCTGTGCCCATTGGATTGATGGTATTTATGGGGCAAAAACCAATAAGCGGCAATTGACGACAGGCACCCCTGTGCACATTGGGTTGATGGCGTTTAGGGGGCGAAAACCAATGAGCGGTAAATGACAACAGGTGCCCTGGTGCACATTGGTTTGAAGGTACCCAGTCAACCAGCAACCGTCTATTAAACATCCGAGAGATGTGTTGTTCGGACATTTAACATATCCAGTGGATATCTGCTACGATTCATCCAACATTGAAAGTATCTACTGTGCAGTGCAAAATGGTTCCCCAGAAAACGTACCACTAACGCAATCTGGTTGATGCAGCTGGACATTCAGGACCATTGTAGGATGTTCAGCCTGATCCTGTGGATGTACCATGTACATACCTCAGAAATATTACCTTTCCTGGTATAGGGACCAGCCCTATGCCAGGAGGGCAAGGAAGTGCCTAAGCAGCCTTCATTTTATGCTAGCATATAGCGTGTAAACTGTCCTACAGAAAAATTTAAACGGATAAGAGTCCAATTCTTTACAAAACAGGAGCTCAGAGGGCAGATTTGCTGTATGGCCCGTGCATGCTTTCAATATATACCCAAATGGCGTATTACAGATGTATAATGTAGCAATCAGGCCCGCAGCAGACATTCTTTATATTGAAGTTTTTTTTTTCACCATCAAGCTCAGAAGCTTTACCACAGGATCAATGCAGACGACACTGACAAGGAAGGCGACACTACTGATGCTGACTCGTTTTAGTGAGGTGGACCTCACCACATGCGAGAGAACTGAAATACTGGACACAAACATTGTCATAAGCTATGACAAACGGCCCTGAGGAATTGACTACTGAAGTCTAAGGCTTCAGTAGTCATATGCTCTAGTGACGAGGACACCAGAATTCCATGAGAGCTGTAGCACCGACCGCATGGCAAAAGATGCCGCTGCACTCTTGCAGCGTAACTTTGAACGTGAGTAGCGCACTAAATTCCTGCCCAGCCTGTCAGGCATGCACATCCGTTCTGTAGAAAAAGTTGCAGTGCCAAACAAATCGCCATTAACTCTTTATTGTTACTGTTAGACAGACGATCAGTGCTTGATGCTTTTAAAATAAAGTATAATTTTTGAACAATGCTGCATAGACAGCATGAGGTTTTCAAAATAAAGTATACTTACTGAACAATGCAGGATACTTTGCTTAAAAAAAATGTCTGATAAACATAATAAAAAGCTCAGCGCATTCAAGGCCCACTTAAGGCAGTTCACATCTCCCTCTCCTGTGGTGCAGAATGTTCCTGAAAAGCAACGAAAAAATGTTACGTTAAAGATATGTGAGCAGTGGTTTACCATTCTTTGAAACAAAACTAATAAAACAGTGAAGTTCAAAGTGAAGTGACTCAAATATGCAAGAATTGGAACTGATGTAAATAAATCAGAAGTATTTTATGCCTTGTTTTTAAAGCACATTCATGCGGGATGTGTGTACTGTATTGCCAACTTTTGTTTGTTAGATTTACATCAAAAATCAGTGTTCTTAAAATTCGTTGTCTGTGCATTCTTTTTAATCCATAATAAGGTACTATTACATAATGAAATTTTTCCTCTTAGAGAAACACTCCAAACAAAATTTTTTTTATTTAAAATTATTCAATACTGTTCACACCTGTAGTATTTCCTCTCAAATTAAACCAAAAAAGGTGTCACTGGCTTTAATATTTAAAGCATTCAAATACTCTTATATAGAAATTATGCTTTGAAGAAATTGCACACCATACTTACTGTTCTAGAAAAGTTTGATTTTTGTGCTAACATCAGCTTAATAATACCAGCTTACCATTTGAGATGACTGATGTCAGGCAGGTGCGTGGCGAAGTTAATCCGTGACCATGGTTTCTACCTTGAAGTCTTCACATGTATGGCAGCTCTGCACTGCATCTGATAAAAGAAAGCAACAGAAGTATGACACCAACAATTCCATAAATCTGGTTCCATCTGAAGTGATCTGCACTACTGTTCCAGAGATTACTTACTTATGATGCACTCAGCAAGGTGAAGGTTCCTGAATGTCAACTTTCTCTTACGTCCTTCCCACAAAAATTTTCACCCCAACTGGTCAGTCAGCAACCGCTTCGTGATCTGTCTCGTACAGGAAGCATAACCAGATCCGCAGACTTTGCTGAGCTGTCGAACATAAAAAAACATCCACATAGCAACCGCTTAGTGCAATCATAACTATTGATTGGATGTTTCTGTTTATTTTTAGTCAACCTTGGCAGGTGTTTATCGGCATCCATTTCTTCATTAAATGTGCTGCAAAAATATTCCAAAAGCCGGGAATCATAATGATAAAAAAACTGCACCGACTTTACTCAACAAGATTAACAATTTAATCAAACGTTTCGTCTCCCATGTGGGAAACATCGTCGGTGAAACCTTGAAGCAGGAATGAGCGAAAGAAACTTCAACAGTCCTATTTAAGCAAGTCCGCATACACATTGAGGAGGGGGCCGCAGCTGGAGTTACAAGCTGATGAGTCATTTCGGATGAACCATGATTCTACGAACCTGCTTGGACCCCACCTTTGTTCACGCGCCAAAGTGGACGCATTCTCAAAGTCGAAACTGTGTCCCGTATTCCAACAATGGTCTACGAGTTCCGTCTTCGCTCTTGTCGCATGCGTGGCCTTTGCCATGTCCCTTTTGTGACTTTCATTTAGCTTTAAACAGCATTGAATCATCAATCCAATTCACACATGAAGTTGAACAGAACGGTGCAAAGCCTTTTCTGTATGTTAATGTGTTCCGAAATAGTACCGGTCGCTTATATACAACAGTGTACCGCAAAGCTGTGATACAGGCAACCTCTTAAGCTTTAACTCGCATCATTCTGTCGAACATAAAAGGGCTGTCGTAAAAAACCTACTACACCGGTCCGAACGCATTTCTTCTAATCCTCAATTGCGCGCTTCTGAGAAAAAAGTCAAATTTGGGGGATTTACGTGCTAAACCAACGACGGGCATCTGGCACGCCCCAGCGGAGGACTGAGGATTAATTTAGACTACTTGGGGATCTTTTGACGTGCAACCGAAAGCTCGGTTACACGGCGTCTGCTCCGCAATAAGCCTCCGCCACATGGGGATCCGTAGGCCAGCGCTCTCGCCTCGGAGCCACCGAGGCGGCTTGCGCGCTTCTGAGGATGCTGTTATTGTTGACCTGCTGATGAAGCGGAATTATCCGAAACGTTTTATTGATAACACGCACAAACAGATGGGACAAAGAAGTCAGGATAATGGACAACTTAGGACAGGGCAAGCAACAGTACCCTATTTGAGAGGTGCTTTTGAGTCCATTCGCAGGGCCCTCGCCCCTTTGAATATCCGCACAGCTTTCAAACCCCACCATAAACTATGTGACTTCATTTCTAAACCTAAAGATTACACCCCCCCAGAGTCCCAGTGCGGTGTTGTGTATAAAGTGAACTGTCTAGACTGTGACACATCCTACATTGAGGAGACAGGCAGGAAGCGCTGCACTCGCCTAAACAAACACAGCGAAGACAGAACTCGTAGACCATTGTTGGAACACGGGTCACAGTTTCGACTTTGAGAATGCGTCCACTCTGGCGTGTGAACAAAGGTGGGGTCCACGAAGGTTGGTGGAATCATGGTTCATCTGAAGTGACTCATCAGCTTGCAACTCCAACCGCGGCCCCCTCCCCCGATGTTTATGCGGACTTGCTTAAATAAGATTGTTGAAGTTTTTTCGCTCATTCCTGCTTGAAGGTTTCACTGATGATGTTCCCCGCATGGGAGACGAGACGCTTGATTAAATTGTTAATCTTGTTGAGTAAAGTCGGCGCAGTTTTTTTATCATTAAATTTGCTACTAATATTTATACCTGCTCTTATTGAGGCACTTCCGACATTTAAACTGAGAAATTTTGACGTCTTTATCTCAATATGGCGATTGGATTAAAGATTATACCACTGGGCACGGGCTTGGACTTACCCGAAAGCCCAGGCCTGGGATGGGCTCTGACTTTTGACTGTGGGCCCGGGCCGGGCTCGGGCCAGCACGTTGATTGGCCTGGTTCGGGCTCGGGCCAGCTGTAAGTGACCATGATGCTGACAGAGGCCATCGTAGAAATCGGCGTCTCGGTTATCTCAGCAACATCAACTCCAGAACCACTAGACAAGTACCCATGAACGTAGAGCAACCTTAAGACAGTGGACGGCAGCGTCGTTAATCATGAGGTGAGCTTCAGGTTAATCCCAGTGGCGTGATGTTTTTGCTTGTGGTGATAAATAGCGGCAAACCAAAAATAAACGGACATTGAAGCGCTCTGTCAGGAATTAAAAATGGGGGACTCAAAAACATTAACGCTAAACAATCTCAACCTAGTTGATCATGAGAAACACTTATCTCTCTCGAATAATAGCTGGGAAGCGCTAACATAGCGACAATGATGTAGTGGGGAAGCTTACAGGCCTAGTAAACAATTATACACATACTGGGGAATGCCTGGCACATATTCAGGTATGAATACATGCTCAGATCTACAAAATATTTTAGGAGAAGATACAAACTGCAAATTAGTAGTCTTTCTTAGAAAACACATTGACGTATCTTAATCACAGTGCTAAAACCCATAAAAACACTTGATTACAATTATTTTAATAAAAAAAAGTTCTGAATATGTACATGACACCAGCAGTCATAACTTTGATTTAGTTCATCGCAAGCTAGATTTCTCTGGCAGCAAACGAAGACAAACCTTTTAACTGTGCAGTGAACCAGAATTAATACAATACGACGAAGTTTCCGTATACCACTTTAAAATAACCACAAACAACGCTTTTCAGATCAGTATGTTTTGCTATAAAAGGCTATAAAGCCATAGTCCTTACAGTATATTATAAAGCTTTTAGTCTTGCTGCATCCAGTTGTGGCTTTGCTTAGCCTATGTGCGGTTTGAAGGTCTGCCGGTTACAATTCGCCAAGGAGGCCATCTGTGGCGGAGATAATTACCAAACCTTACCGGATGAACATTGATTCCCTCTTCTATTTGAGAACTTTCGTGTGTGAAGTCTTGTTGAGCCACATGCCATTACCAATGCACACATAGAAGACATAAACTTCAGTTCATCTTTGAAGCAGCACTATGTAGAGGAAATTTACCAGTGCAATATTCGTGACTCCAGCGAAATCGACGCCGCGTAGCGGCAGCGCCGAGAAGCTCAGGAGAGGAGGTTGTCCCGACTCTGTCGTCTGCTATCGCTGCTTGGTTTTCGTAGGCAGCATAGAAACAAACATAGTTTCCAGTAATTATTTTAATGATTCCACCGGGTCCTTCCTACGCACTGAGTAGACAAACGTTTCTAGGGTCGAAAAATCGCTTTGCATTCAAATGTAACACCGATTTTACGCTGCAGTGCAGGAATTTGTGATGGTCCGCATGCTGAACAACGAAAACGACCTTCTTTCGTCCGAATTTTGCCTGAGCAGCGCGCCATCTATAGTTCGCTGGAGTCGCGAATAACCTGGACTGGGATTGAAAACAGGGGTCCTATTTGCCAACGGCATGCCTCAAAATTAATTTTGTTGATGAAAAAAAAAAATTGTAGCAATATTTACGCGGCAAAACGCAATTTGAGTTTGGCACAAAACCGAACCGGTGTAACTAGCAGGTATCCTTCTTACCTCATTACTGTCAGAGTTAACGATTTGAATGATTCGACGTGATCCCTCACCCTCCTCCTCCTCTTCACCTCCTCTCTCTCCCCCAACGAACTAACAAACAAACGAACATGCACGCGTGCGCACACACACACGCGCGCACACACACACACACACACACGCACACACACACACACACACACACACACACACCTCTTCTCCAAATAGACACAGACTGCGCCACGCCTTGACAGATATAATTCATTCTAACCTTAAAGGCGGACCAGCAGAAATATTCTTGCGCCTGGCGGAAATTCCTCCTCGCCCTCTTTCTTTCGTGTATTGTAGCACGGCGAGGCGAGGGGAAAGGTCCCCTTTTGCGCCGGCTTCTTCTGAGAGGATAAGCCGAGAAAATCTCCATGCTGAGTGACGGGCGATGGGTGCGGCAGCAGCGACCTCATGACTTACAGGTAGCTTCAGCTCCTATCGCGTAATCTGCCCCATTTTTCGGCGCTCACCAAGCCTAGCCCCTCCGGTGTAGGTTTTTGCGGAGCTGCAAGGCTGCGCCCGCGCACTCACCGAATTTCAGCTGTCGAAGGTCTTTGGTTTTGCCCGTGGCAAAATAAACACATACTTGAGAGCTGCGATGCATCCCCGCACCCATTGAAGGAACGTTTCATAGATATTCTCGGTTGATCAAGGAGCTCAAAAGGCATGCGCGAGAAGTGGTGACTTGAATATGTAAGGATGACTTACATCTTTACAAAACATTCCATCTTAAAAAAAAAACTGCTTATCGCGCTCAAAACTGCCTCAAATTAAGATTGATGGAAAAGAAAGCGATGTACCATGCGCGGGCATCTTTTAGAAGGTCTTTGTTTTCTAGCAACGAGCACAAATATTATGTGCGTAACTTACACAATATCATGGCCAACGAATGTACGTGACATTTAAATTTACGCATCCCAGCAACCACAAGAGGTGAGAAGACAGCAATGGTGTGTGTCGATACTAAAAAGTTTTAGTGGATCGTCTTTAGCTTTTGGATAACCGCACCCTACGACAATATACAAGCTATAACCTTTCTGTGAGCATTCTTGATCGAGTGCAGCTATCGAAGCGTCTGGTGTTATAGTTCAACGTTGCTTAAATCGGTGCTATAGCACGTGCTGCCACTTTAAAGTATTATTGAGGCATTAAAAATAAAAAAATAAAAAAATCAAATGTAGCCGATTTTTTTTAACATGATACGCGTTTGTAATTTGTCTTTGCAAACACATTTTAAGTATACTGCCACACAGCACGGACAAACTATTGCCGGTCTTTCAAATTTTGTTTTTTAGAAATAAATTATGTTTAGAAAACTGTCAATGCAACTATCCAACCTAAGTGGCAGAGCTCAGTGCTAGACAATACATGTTGCTGGGCAGAAATAGTAAATAGCGCCGATCTCGCGTTCGGGCTAAAAGTGCCACGTAATGCACGCGTACCGCTATAAGTGCGTCCGTACATTTCATTGAACGGCATTTCATTGAACGCCGTTTCATCAAAACCGTTTCATCGAAGCCGTTTCGTCGAACACCGTTTCATCGAACGCCGTTTCCTCGAACGCCGTTTCAAAGAAGCCGTTTCCTCGAACACCTTTTCATCGAACAACGTTACAGTGTGTAATATTTAGGAATTTACTTTAATTTTTATACAGAACTTCATCTAATTCTCTCCTTTTTTTTTCTTTTGTTTCTGTTTTTATATCACTGGGTGCAGTGACGAGGTAAGTTCCATCGTGAACATTTCCTGCTTCGAGAAGAAGCCTCTATGAAACAATGACCCCTCTCCATGTCACATAAAACAATTAAAAATGAGGCAAAAACAGAAAGCACGGACACTTAAACGTGTTCTAAGTGTCTGTCCTTTATTTGCAGCGTCGTGGTTTCAGTCATATATGTATATGAGTAAATATTTTCAGTAAGTCGCATACCCAATTGTTTTTATTTCTTTTTATGCCAATTGCTTTTATCTTTAGTAATTTGACACCACCTTCAAAACAATTTCACAAGTGACTACCTTAGTCTTAACAAATGCAAGGTGAAACATCTATAAAGCACTGTTATGCCCCAAAACTCGGTACAGAGCCATAACAGAGAAATTCGATGAAACGGCCCTTAGCGATTCGATGAAACGGCGTTCGATGAAATGTCCGTTCATTCGATAAAACAAACGACTTTCTATAAAATGTCGAAAAAGTGAGGTTCAGGCTTTGTCGGAGATAGCTACGGTTACACTCGTACGCTTTTTCAGTTCTATCTAGGCATATATAAGCTTCTTGCTCAAATAAACATTGGCATCTGACTTTTCGCTCATCTTGGCCTTTAGCGCGACTGTTAACAAGTCCTAAAACAGTCAAAGCAAAAGTGATTTAATTAGCTCAGGATTATAGGTTGAGCGAAATATTTACAAAGTTCGAGGTTCCCTGAGTCGTCTTTTGTATTCAATCCGCCCCCCCCCCCCCCCCCCCCCCCCCTCACCACCACTTCCTTCCTCTAAATAAACAACGTAGATTATTTTATGAACCACCAGTAATGGAGCGTACTCGCAAAACGTCTATTTGGCGTAAGAAAACGTGAGAAAGGCCTTGTTTAAATGTTCGAGCAATGAACTGGTCTTCTTACTGTGCGTGACACAGCTAGCACGAACACAATATTGACATTTTTACGCAAGGGCCATGCAGAATTTAGTGTAGAACAAATTGATGCCTCGTAAGTTGGTGCCCAACGGAAGCACTGTTTTTTCCGAATTGCTTGTTTAAAAATAGCAACTTTTCAACCATAAAAATAAAACAAAATAACACCACTTCTTTGGGGGCCACTAAATTTACTGATTCACTCCGTTAGCATTGATTGTGCAGCGGTATGCGTACATTACGCGACACTGTTAGCGCAAACACGACATCGGCGGTTTTGCTATTTTCCCCAGCAATGTATCGACTCGCACTAAACTCTACCGCTTAGCTGGGATACTCGCATTAACAGTTTCCTAAACATCATTCAGTTCTAACAAGAAAAAAAAAGTGGGAAACACCGGCGATTGTTTGTTTGTGCTAACTGCGTGGCGTAGGGTACCTAAAAGTTTTTTACAATGCTAAATACAATTCTGTGTCACGTTAAAAAAAATTGTCTGCTTTTGCTTTAGTTTCTTTGAGACACACAAATACTTCGAAGTGGCGGCCCGTGCTATGGTACCGATACAAGCAACGTTGAACCATAACACGACACGTTGGACTCGCCAAAAAGGGTTTTAATATTGTCTTTCCCGCTCCATAGCCGCACTCGATAAAGAATGTAAAGAGCGAATCTAGCTTACATTTCGTTCTGGGGTACGGACCGTACGGTTATCTAAGTGGCTAAAAGTGACCCACTAAAACTTTCTAAAATTGACATCCACCCTTGATGCCCTCTCACCTCAGGTGGTTGTTGGGAATGTGTAAATATGAATTTCATACATTTTGCTGGCCATCATGTTCCGCGAGTTAGGCACACAACAGGGCATTTTAGTAAATCGTTTTCAAAGGCCCGTTGCCACTTCAGGCGCGTGCTTCAGAGAATGCATCGAAGTGGCAGCGCGAGCTTCCGCTAAATATATGTGGCCTGAAAACATAGTCTGCTAAAGTTCTCCAATAATTTGTGCTCGCTGCTAGAAAACAGAGATCTTCTAGAAGATTCCCGCGCCTGGTGCATCGTTTTCTTTTCCATCGATCCCAATTTTGAGGCAGGTTTGAGCGTGATAAGCCGTTTTTTTAAAGATGGAATGTTTTGTGAAGATGTAAGTCATCCTTACATATTCAAGTCACCACTTCTCGCGCATGTCTTTTGAGCTCCTTGATGAACCAAAAATATCCATGACACGTTCCTTCAAAGGGGTGCGGGGATGCATCGCGGCTCTCAAGTATGTGTTTATTTTGCCACAGGCTAAACCAAAGACCTTCGACAGCTGAAATTCGGTGATTGCAGCTCCGTAAAAACCAACACCCGAGAAGCTAGGCTTGGTGAGCGCCAAAAAATGGGGCAGATTACGCGATAGGATCTGAAGCTACCTCTAAGCCACGAGGTCGCTGCTGCCGCACCCATCGCCCGTCGTTCAGAATGGGGATTTTCTCGGCTTATCCTCTCAGAAGAAGCCGGCGCAAAAGGGGACCTTACCCCTCGCCTCGCCGTGCTACAATACACGAAAGAAAGAGGGCGAGGAGGAATTTCCGCCAGGCGGAAGAATATTTCTGCTGGTCCGCCTTTAAGCCTATCAGCACAGAAAAAAAGTTAAAACACATAACCTTTACCTAGTTTCTGGGCATATGAAAACAAACACACGGCACCCCTATCAATGAAATTCCTTGTACTTGTGGCGGCATAACTAAAGAAAATCTCAAATTTAAAATACGTCTTATGAATTGCTTCGCAAGCGCGAAAATGAAATTACAATTACCTATCTCATACAAGCTTCCTCCAGCCCTCCCGGGCAGTCACTCATCTCGTCGGAGGTACTAGCACCCGCTTACTGTCACTGGGTTTCCGCGTCACTCTGCGATCCTGAAACAACCGGCGCCGAGAGTTACTCCCACATATTGTGCTTAAAGCTGCAATTTTTAACTTAGAGGAGATGGTCACTAGACTGGGCACAACGCGTGTGGAGACCAGAACTTACCAAACAACTTTAGGATCCGCGCCTTGAAGAAGTCCGATTCCGTTTCGTCACAAGGCTTGACGGGCAGAAATTTGAGATGATATGTGGCTCATGGTCGTCCTCAAGACGTACGCTTGCATAATCGTTCGTAAAATTCCGGCCGCTCAACTGGCCTCGACTCTGCAACGTGCTTGAAGCGGTTAGACCACTGTGGGTTAGACTTCCCGCGAACGTTGCTTCGGTGGCTTCGGTTCTTCTTCCACGCTTCCTTGTCCTCCGGCCGGACCGTTCGGTTTATCACGTCGGACCACTTCCTGACGCAGGGGATGTATCACGTGACTATAATACTTCGTATTTTAACTCTTGTTTTTGTTTGCTGAAGTAAACGAATACTTAAAACCTTTACTTATTGACCTTAATTTAGCAAAAAATTTGCATAAATTGCACTTTGAAAACTTATTTTGGTTTTATATGTCATGCTGGATGCATGCGGGTGACCCCACTGTTCACTCTATTGACTCCAGCTCACTCTATATTGTCACGTGGTGTAACCCGCAAGCCCGCAAGTGTGACTGATGCACTTAAGAAAATAATGAACGTTTCTAAAAATTATGGTATCATTTAATTGTCAAATGTAAATACTGAATATATATTAAACTTATAACGGAGTAATTTTTATTTGTCATTTTAATTAGAAAATTGCAATCGCTGCGGGACGACGTCGGTGCGAATTTTAAAATTTGGATTTGAGACACGTAGGGTGTCGCGCTGTGCGACCATGAACCCAAACAAAAAAATATACTTGGAGCCACTAAGTATACCCAGCTTGCCAAGGACAACAGTCCTGAGACGAAGTTGTGTCCTGAAAAATGCTACAACGCCAGGGACCAGAACCGACGTCGCCGACAGCAGTTTCTGTAAGCTCGGTTGTCTCGGAACACGGTGAGACAAAAACTCCCCGTGAACTAAGTAGTACCAATGAAACCAGAAGCGGTCACAGTACTGGGCCAGTTAGTGAAGACACAAGTGATAAAATTGTGAAAGTGACGGGAGATTTGAAGACCAATTTCCTGTCCAAGTTTCCGAAAAGGCTACTGCCAAAGACGAATGTAACGAGTCTGACGTACCCTAATTCGGCTGGCCTTCATTTTAATTATGAAGGGCTTTTGAATCTCGAAAACTTCATTGCTGGAGTGTACACTCTTCCCGGCATCAAGGAAAACTACAACTTTGGGAAGCCAGAAGCCAAACTAAAGGCCCAAACTGCCAACAAGCGCGTAAAATGCCTTTCAAAAAGGAACTTCCTTGCTCAACTACAAAGTGGAAAGCGCTGCCTGACACTTACTGTGCGTGAAACAAGGTGCAATCATAATTTCGGGAAGGTCATCCTTATTTCGTGTGTGTGTATGTGTGCGCGCATTTTATGTTTTTTTTTAAATGACTTCTATGGTGCTAATAATTATTGGATGTTATTCGGCACTACCGGCTTTTCTTTTCTGTTAATAAAAAGCTTGCCCACGATAGAATGTGCACGTGATCTGCCGCCCCAGAACGAGCGCGTAGCCTTGACTAGGGCTCGAACAGGATACGTTCACATGGCAAAATGGAAGCCTGAAGTATCGCATTTTTTCGCCAACTCCGCCAAAGTTTTAAAGTCCCGACGTCGGAAGTCGGAGAGCTTTGGACCAATCGTGAAAGATGATAATAGGATTTTTGAGTCAGTGTTATTCTGTTTTTGACCCGGTTTTACTCTGATTTGCTCGGTTCTGGAGCAAAAGTTATACAAAAACGAGAACGTTCCACTCCGAAACCAGGTGAAACTGAATAAAACGGAGCAAAGTATAATGTGAATACATAATCCAGTTGGTGCAATCGTTTACGCTATTACTGTTACTGAAACATCCTGGAAAACAAAAGGACAGAATACACCGCTAAAACTGCAGAGTTCCGATGATACCTGAATTTCGTGGCTTGCCTATATATAATTATTCATAAATCTTGTGCATACTATGTGCACACACAATGTTCCCGTTCCCCATAGTCTTTTCTTTATGTTTTACTGGCAGCCGCATGTTTTATAATACGAAGGAGGACAGTACGTAATCAGGAAATTCTAAAACACGTGACAAAAAAGAGTTCATATTCACTTTATTAACTGAATGTTTTATTTAATTAGTGTCTACATGGCCCAACCCAAGTTATATAGCTAAAAAAAAAAAGTTTATTTGACAGAGAGGAACCCATCGGGCACGCACGTATCTGCACGGGGGGGGGGGGGGGGGGGGGGGAGGACCATGGGACCCCTTCCCCCCCCCCCCCTCCTCTCAAACCTTTCATTTGGTGGGGCCTCCTTTCCCCCCTCCCCCTCATACAGTATTTTGTCATGGGCGAATCAAAATCCTGGCTGCGTGCCTGCCATCGGGTATATTTGCGGCAAAAATTATTTTCCTGTGCTCAAAACATAAAACTTTAGTATATAACAACTCTAATTTCTCCACTAAGCATACTGTTTAACCTGATAGAGGCCCACTTAATAGATTTTATGTTCTGTATTCCCAGTCGACCATTAAGAGTTCTCGATCCGAAATGCATTCCATTTCACCAATGAAGCTTTCAGTTTAACCAGTACAACTTGTTATTGATCCTATTGAAGGACCAATAGGCACTTGTATTCCGGACCAGAAAACATTCGTGTTGTTCCCATAGAAGTTTCTATCTTGTCCCATAGAAGTTCCTGCTTGTCCCACAGAAGTTCCTAATGGTACAAGAGAAGTCTGTATTGGTACGATATAACTTGTTACCGGCCCAGTAGAAATGCCCATCGGTACGATGAAATCCTATTGATCGCATAAAAATCTCTATCGGTCCCATAGAAAATTTTTGCAAGGGTGTGCTAATTTGGCGATTGAGCATTGTCACTGCCATACTGCACCGAGTTCACTTCTCTGCAATGCATGGCTCTTTGCTATCTCCCGTACAATGGCTCTGCCACATAGCGCCACTGGCTGCAATGAGCGGTAATGAGCAAACTGAGTGTCGTGCACATTGACACAATTGGCATCACGGCGCTTGCCCCCTAAAGTTGACTTTCCCTCAACCGATTCTTTGGCCTTCCCCCGTGCTGCGGCTTCTCTGCAGCATTTCCAGTTGTACCAATGTGCAAAACATCGGAATTTCTCATCGGCGCCAATTGCACATTCATGCTCATAGGCTTTGGCTATGCATTTCAATTGGAACAGGCCTGCCATTTCCAGCAGGGCGGCGAACAAAGAGAACGCATGATGGCTTACGTCGTCGCCAAGCAGAGCGTGCATAACACAACTTGCTTCTTATCGGCTGGAAGTCGTTCGCGATGAAGTAGATCTCTAGTCGCTTCAGGTACAAAGGCCTTGTCGCGTCGGTACCCGGCACGAACTCGCCGATGGCGCCAAATGTCGTGGCTGCCGCCATCGTACCTTGCTGGCCGAGCGCTTCTGCTTCATCCCTCGTTGACGTCGTCGCTTATTTCTTTACCTCGTCGCCAATGTTATATATTTAATAGCGGAAGGGTTGCAAGTCTATTCACAAGTGGAACCTCTGCCCTGAGGCCTACACCGTAGCGTTCCACCTGACATGAGAGTCAGTCGTCGTCTTCTCTCACGAGGCACGCACCACGCCCAAAGCTGCCTGATGGGAAACCGAGTCGAGGTCTATGGCAGTCAAGGTTTTAAATTCTTGAAATATGATTAAAGCACCACAATTTTTAGCGGGAGAATTTTAAACAGTAATCTTTCAGACTACTTTTCGTAGAACACGCTGCTTCGCGGACGGGATCGGAGGGAACCGGCCGGATTTTCCGCTCTTTCCCTTGTGTATATTACTCTATGGCGGAAAGCGGTGATAATCTCAGCATCCGCTTTCCGCCACTGCTATACTTGACAGAACATGGCAGTACTAAGTAAGGGGTGACTTTTTTTCTTTTTTGCGTGTTTATTTAGTAGACGTTCGATTCAAAGGGAATCGCTGCATAAATAAATACATACATACATGCGGACGCTTGTGACGTCATGAAACGTCACGTTCGGAGTTTCTCGAAGGTTCTTCCTCGCACCTCAAGTGCACCGCCATCTTGAATGTCGTCACTTCCAGTATGGGCGAAAACGTTGTTTTGCCTCCCCTCTACGCAGGAGGCATTTAGGATATAAGCGTAGCCGTCACACTTTCTCGTTTTGCCTCCCCTCTATTTTTTTACTATTTGAAGGTTGGATTATTTTTTCTTCGTCCATACCGGATATGCCTATTGGGTGGCTGGGGACGAGAGTACACAGAAAAGGTCTATAAAGCTCACTTCTCACCTGGCGACCCGCTCACCGATCACTTCGCAAGTCTCTCTCTCGGATCAACGATCAGAAAACGCCGATTTTCGACTGAGTGCACTGTGGATACTGCGACGTACAAAGACCCAGCATTTCCAGCAGAGGTTAACGGACAACGTAGCCCACCGAGGTAAGCTGGAACCTCCAGGATTTATTTCTTAGCAGCGGTCGTATCGTCGTCTCGCGAAGTGAATTTCCTCCGCTTTTGAACGGTCAAAACGTACGGTGTAGTAACAGATCTCATGCGCTATCCTCATCTTTCCGGAGTTTTATCATCACTGCACCTTGCTGAACTAAATGAATCCAATCCAATAACTTCTAACCCCCTCCCCGACTGCCGTTGAAAATGTGAGATTTTCGGTCCCCTAGATTTCCCGCCATTTCGGTCGACTATTTTTCGTTTTCATTTCTTCTCGCTTATGTTATCCGTGATCGAAGTTTTGTACGTGTTTCTGTGACTTCTGAGGATTATCGTCTTGACTGGATTTGGAGTTTGCGAATTGAAAATCTCCGCGGCCTGTTACAGTCAGTTTTATCATTTTATTTTTGAGAATAAAATGATTCGGAGTTATATGACCAATAATAATGTCTGATGTTGTCGAGGATCTTTCTCGGAAAAGAGACACGGCAAAAAAAAAAAAAAGACAAAAAAATTATTGTTTTTGAATTTTTTTCTAATATTTATAGGTATTTCTACATATTCTCCACAAATATTTTCGCGAAATAGCGCGTATTTAGTTCAAGACATTGATTTGACATCACTAAGTTAATATATTTCGTCCGAAAAAAGCCCCAAAATGGTGCACTTTGACCGCCGATAGATCGAGAACGATCTATGGGTTTTCTAGTCAGTGGGTTCTGGTAGAGTTCCTGTATATAACTACCTGCGGTTTCGGGGGAGCATATCGAAGAACTCTAGGCTGTGGCAGCCTGCGTAGGCGCACTTCCGGACGCTGGTGGAGGCTAAACTGCCGCGTTCTATTTTTTATTTTGTGTTCCATGGCGAATAG